CCTTCAACTTTTGGATTAATTTGATTTCAAACTCCTTCTAGGACATTGAAGCATGTTCATGTATACAACATTGCGAAGGTAAAACATTAAGCTTGGTTAATAATTCCAATTTTTAAATGTATATGCATTTATTTTATTTGAATTAATATCAGCTGGATATCCATTCAAAAATGGCAAATTAATCAGATCAGATATTGGAGCCATTTATGAATGCAATTCTTTCTGTGGTTGTGATTATACTTGTCCTAATAGGAACATTCAAAAGAATAACATGAACGATAAAAATTTACAGGTAAGTTTACTTAGTAGATTGCGTTTAAAATTGATACTATTAATGAAAATAATGAGTATGAAGAATTTTAATTTAGAATTTTTTATTCTAGATATTTAAAACTTCAAATAGGGGATGGGGTGTAAGAACTTTGAAACCAATAAAAGAAGGTTCTTTTGTAACAGAACATGTTGGAGAAATTATAAATTCAAGAACGTCTATGTTGAGATCAATTTGCTATGATAAACTAAATATGATGAGTTACTTTGATTTAGATTATGGGTTTGACAGTGATAAGGGATCAAAGACCCTTTGGTATGTCGCTTTGCTATAAATGAGTATATATTTGTTAATTTTTAAATTTTGTTTTAATATTTGTGTTAATAGCTTGGATTCAAACTACTGGTGCAATATTTCAAGATTTATGAATCATTCATGTGATGCCAATCTTGTAACTATTCCTGTAAATATTGATTGTTATTTATTATTTATTATTGCATTATTGTTTATTGCATTTAATTAAATTTTGTTAAAGTTCTTTGTAGAAACCAAAGATATAAAATTTCAGAGAATTGGATTTTTTGCACAAAGAGATATTTCTAAAAATACTGAGTTAACAATAGATTATAGAATTCAAAATCCAGATTTTGAATGTTTATGCGGTTTTAAATTTTGTAGGTAATGTATTTTAGTTTATTTTTTAATTAATTAATTATTTATTTTTTGAGTCAATAAATTTAGCAAATAAATTTTAAACTTGTAGGTTTAAAAAAGGTTAAATTTGTTTTGTATTAAATAAAGAAATTATTTAGGCTTGCTTTTAAACCGAGTTTAAAATTTTATTTAGAAAGTTTTATATAATTAATATTTAATTAAAATTGATTTCGATATTTAAATTTAAATGTTTTGAAAAAAAATTATTTCTTTAAAAATATAAAATTTTATTTAATAATTTGGTTTTTTTAAAATAGATTTTATTAGTTATAACTTACGGTGATTATTGTTTAGGATGCTATGTTTCAAATTTTCACTAGCTAATTTAAGTTAGAAATATTAAGCAAAAATGTTTAGATTTTTCAAAAATTAAATTTTAACTTTAATTTGAATTTTTATATTTGATTTTTATTTTATTTTAAAAAAATTTATATTTGGTGCAGTGTACGCGGTGCACCCTATAGCAAACTATAGCAAATCAATATAAATAAGAATTAAATTAGAGTTAGGGTTAGGGTTAGGGTTAGGATTAAGGTTGGGTTAAAGTAAAAACTTTATGGAGAGTCTTTTTTATTAGTTGCACAACAGAAGTTATCCTAGTAAAATTTTGAGATATCAAAAGGGTGCACCAAGTACAGGATATACCAAAAATAAATGCCTTTATTTTTAAACTATATTCTAATTTTAAAAATAAGAATGTAATAATTAATATAGATTAATTTTAATATTTTTTTAAATTATATACTACTGTATATTTATATATATAATATATATTAATATATAAATAATTAAGGGTATATTGACTTAATGAAGTGGTGAAGCTGTTGCATCTCCAAGCGGTTAAGTACAAGTTCAATTTCCACTAAAGATGAAAATTGAATTTTGAAAAATGGATTCGGCAACTAATACTGTAGTCAGAAAAACTTGAGACCCTGTAACTGTAGTCGTACTAATTATAGTTTACCAGCACTAGAAGATCTCAGGATATTTGTGTAATAAAGAAGTTATACAAAGACATACAAGCTGGTTTAGTCAGTACAAACCCAAGATAAGTCTTTCAAAATCGCAGAAAGTCACAAGGCCGATATGGTGATAAGGCACTTGCTTGAGAAGTTCTAAATAAAGAGGTAGCACAGATCTTTGATAATACTATATATAGATTACTACTTGAAGAACTGATAAAAACTAAACAGAACTAAAATATTTAGCAAGGCATTCCACCAACTAGATCACCAGAGGGTAGCCAGAGGAAAAGGACCTAACTATAGAGACCAAGAGCAGATCATAGCCCTTCTAGACCATCTAGATTAGTAGTTTGAAATAGCTAAAAATACTAGTAATGATCTGTAGATATATACTAGATTTGGATAAACTCTATAAGGGTAAAAGTAGATTGTATAGCAGCGATCAGGCTATAGTTAGTACTATAGAAACTAGGATACAAGTAGTGAGTCTCAGTCTATATATATTAACTAAAGCCTAGGTTAGCCAGATTGTAGATACAGAAAGCTTTAGCAGATTTACTCTGAGAATAAAATT